AGTACACTAGTTAACAGAAAACTTTCAGAATCTTATAGTTAAATGATATACTTTGAAATATATAACAGCTTAACAAACATATAGAAAAAAAGATCTAAGTTAGATTAGATAACACTTAGATATACAAAAACATATGCACTATTTGTTAAATATAATATAAAGATCAAAATATTTAATTAAGTAATTTTTTAGCAAATTACAGATATGACAGTTAGTGTAAAACCTACAGATAAACTACTTAAATAAGTAACTAAAAATTATATATGTAGATAGTTATATATTCATTTTGTATAAGTTATATAACTATAATTAAAAATATAATAAAAAGAATATCTACTAATAACAAATAGCCTTAGTAAAAGTAAAAAAAACAAAAGTAATATAGTAACAAAAGGATAAAAAAAAATAAAAAACAAAATATTACTAGATATAATTAAATTAAGAGACAAAAGAAACAAGACTAGATAAAATATATAAGTAAAACATATAGATATAATTATAGAAGACAGTATTTTTAATATTTAGAATATAAGACCTATGGATCGATAGCGAAGAGGTTACGCTCCCAGGTCACCAATCATAAGGTTGCTGGTTCAAGTCCAATGGGGGATGAAAACTGAGTTAGGACCATGATTGTTAATTAACCACATCAGATGATGTCTTATAAAATTAGGAAGATCTTCGGTACCCAGATCCTTAAATAGTGACAGACCTGACATAAGAAGGCCATGATGATTAGAGGGCTGAGGATAAAAATAGAACAAAGGAATCTCTGATTAGGACAATCCCAGTGAAATTCCGAGGTAATAGGAACACAAATTGAATATAGATAGTACCGTAAATGTACACAAACTAAAAATGTAAAAAAATGTAGACGGGGTCCTGATAGAAGGTTCTGTGAACTTGAAATTTGAACTAATAAAACAGCTATCAGCTGCAGACCACTAGCGATCAAGCAGTAGAAATTCAAAAAAAAAAAAAAATTTAGAATATTATATAAAGTTTTAAAGATATCACTATTTGTATAACAGTTTAATAATATATTTTGACTATAAGTAATTATTAAGTTAATTGCATATAGGCATGCAATAAACACAGACTTAGATATCATAAAAATATCTAAATAAAGTCAGTGATATAAAATTAGAATAGCTAATATAATACTAGTAATGATTCTATAAAATATAACTTTAAATTATATTATATTAAATTTGAAATCTTTTTTTTTATTTTATTTTTAAAGCTGATGTTATCAGTAGCTACTGCCTTTATTTGTGTTTTTGGTCAATGCATTATATATGACTTGTACAAGGTAAGTATTCAATTAGCCATATGTGTAACTTTTGGTTACCTATTTAAGTAGTCCACTTAAGGGTTCTATACTAGTTGCCATGTTTGTAACCTACTAAGAGGGTACCTATTTAAACACTCTGATCCTTATACTACATTTAAATAAGTAACACCTAGTTTTTATACAACTAAGTGCCATCTAACCCAATATTTAGCTTTTTACTTTTGTACATCTGTTAAGCTGTTAAATATTCCAGAATATGTTATCTAACTGTAAGGTTCTAGAGTACTCTCTTGTTAACTACCTACCTACTTTATAGAACATTAACAAGGCTAGCCCTTGTAGAGTTCACTTAAACCCCAGCACCTACTTCACAGCATATTCCTAGTACTTATAGTATACCCCTGCTTTGACCCCAGACTCCTAATTCAGATAGCCTAGTAGGATTGTAACCTGTTCTTGGTATATTGAGCTGGCCTGATATTCTTTTCCTTCAGTTTGGTTCTGGTGGCCTAGTTGGTAGTACCCCTTATCTGAGGTTCTTGCCTATCTAGCTCCTTCACATTGGTATCTGTTTCCTAGATCTAGCCTTTACAGTAGTTTGTCGAAGATCTGTGTTACCTTTCTACTCAGGTCTTTTTAAGTGGACTCTGGTTTTTCAGTTTTACAGATTTACATAGCCATAAAGACTTATTTTAGGTTTGCACCGGTTTGCATTCCTCTGTGTAACCAAGATTACACAGATGCTCTGTGACCTGCTAGTCATACTAGTGCAATCATAGTTACAGATATCCTATCCTAATTGATCGACAGAATATCATTGCTATAATACCATCTATGTATTACATAGGTAATTATTTAAATTTTTGCTATCAGTGAGTTTTGAACTCATAACCTACCACTTGAGAGGTTGACAACTTATCTATTTCACTAAGTCACTATACCACAAATTTGGAACCTAATAAACTAATTAGCAGTATTATTAAAGTTCAAAAAAAATATTTATATTTGTATTATAATAAACTGTTTTTTAATAATCAATTAGATTAATATATTTGTAACTTTAAATCACACTATTTTAAATAAAAGCTTAGAGTATTTATATAAAATATAACATTATATATATATAAAGAAATGCTTAATAGTATTACAAAAGACTTTAATAGAGAATGGTGATTCTAGTGTAGTGATTGGGTTGTCATCCTCTAAGTGACAGATCTAAGGTTCAAATTTTATCTATGATGAAATTTAAAAATTATATCTGCATTATGGTAACTGTCTCACATTGATCAGTTGGCCTTATGTAGCTGTTATCCAGATACACCAAGTCAGGTCCCCTCAATATTGGAAGCTCAGGCATCTATGTAAAGTATAACATTACATGTACATAGAGGAATGTTTACTAGTGTTGCATAAGACTTCAGTACAAACCCACAATAAGACCATCAGGCATAGAAGACTAAGGAACCAAGGTGATGGAAACTCATTTAGAAATCCCCAAGTAAAAAGGTAATATGAACTTTTAATAATACTATCAAACCAGTTGAAACTTATAAAATATCTTTAAAGAAGCTGAAGATTAAAACCAGACATCAAATATGTGTAAAAAAACATATAACCAATCAGACTACTGAATTTGTTAGAGGAAAAGAATATATAAGTATACCATATTGGACCATCTGGATTGATAGTCTGAAATAAGACCAACAATTTAAAATTATGACTAGTAGGAAATGATGAAAAAGATACTGAAAAGATAGGTACTAGAGTTCTAATAAACTTTATAAGGATAGAAATAGTGTAATGTAGCAGTTAAACAGGTAATCCCTATGATTGCAAGTATTAGGTAACTATAGTGTGTTACATAAAACTAGGTCTATATGTGTAGGACATAAAAACTCTAGTAAGTTTCTTATCGAGAATAAAATAGTTCTAAAAGTAATAATAAGCATTGAAAACTTTAATAGGTGTAGTCTTGAGATGTTCTTATGATACAAGGAGGATTACATATACAGAGGGTTTAAATAGGCAAGACTCTTAGTTGGCTTGCAGGTATGACAACTAGTATAGAACTTATATAGTAATGTATAAACAGACTATTTAAATTAGGCATCAAAAGTGCACATGTGGCTAGTTGTAACCTCCAATGTAAGAAAGCCCTTGGAGGCACCCATTTCTTAACAAAACTTGAATAAAATATCACATCTCTAAAATAGGGACTTTAACTATAAAAAAAACAAAAAAAAACAAAAGACTTTAATACAAATTTATAATAAAATCACTAAATACAGAAAACTAAAAAACTAAAAAAATAAAAATTTACTTGTAAATTTCTAAATAAAGAGATAATACAAACTTTTAACAATATTGTTGTACTAACAAAAATTTTTAAAAAACCTTCAAAAAGATAATCAAATAAACTAAATAAAATATATAAAGAAACATATAATTAATCAAATTATTAGAATTTGTTAAAAAAAATAATACAAAAAGATATTAAAAATCTTACAGGTTTATCAAGCCATCTGAATTGATTGTTTAAGAAATTCTGTTAGTTTTAAATAAGATTTAATAGAGACTAATATTAGAAAAATAAGTATTAGAATTTGAATAAACTTTATAAGAATAAAAATAATGTAATATAATAGGTAAACAGATAATATCTGTAATTGTAAGTGTTAATCTAACTATAACATATTGTATAAAACTAGATCAGTTGTGTGTAAGACATGAAAAACTTCAGTAATGATGCCTTGAAAATGAACTGCATGAAACCAAATAGGTATCTTAAAAGTACAAGTAAACATCTAGAACTTCTTGACTAATAGGTGTATTAGAAATGCTCTAGTAATACAGTAAGGATTGCAATACAAAAGGTTTAAATAAGTAATGCCTATAGTTGGATTGCAGGTATAGCAGCTAATGTAGAACCATAAATAGATTACTTAAATTAAACACTAAAAGTGTACATGTGACTAGGTGTACTCTCTAATGTAAAGGTGACTCAATTGAAGCTTCAACCGTGAGTCCCTATGTTCTATAATACTGAATAAAAAACCTCAGTCTCAAAGAGGCTAGTTTAATAGAAAAAAAAATTCTGCAAATTACCTGCATTTTGTGAAATTTTAGAAAGTATATTTTTTATTCTACAGCATATCTTTCTTTTGATTTTATTATTTTTTTTGAAATTCTTTTGCAATTTTTTTTCAAAGGTTTTTCTACCGATTTTTGAAATTTTTTCCTAATTTTTTTCAAATAAATGCATGGTATATGAATGCATTGACAAAATGGTTATTATCAGAGTAACAAAAATATGGCCTTCATTTATATGAAACGTTATGACAAATTTATATTCTTTATAGATTATGTAACGAACATTAACTAAACTTGAGAAAGTGTCTTTACAAATAATTCGCTAGGCTATACTTAAAACTTATTAATTGCCAGTACCGATATATATTTTAGTTAAGACCTTCGGTACCCGGGTATTAATCAATTCTTACAGGATTCAACTTTGAAAAGTACCCGAGTGCTACCCGTGACCAGGTCAATCACAAAAGACTATCTTTGGGGGGTGTATGTATTTCGGGTAATCATATAGCCAATCCCTACGCACAATCATTTGTAACACCAATGCTGAATAAATATAAGATGATTCTCAATTTCACATACGTATGTACCGTACGTACGTACGTTAATTCTGTTTACAATGGATGATAGGGATAGTGAAAGAGCCCCTCTTCTTCAAATAGGAAGACAAATTGAGCCAAAGAATTGTCGTGATGCATTTTGCTCGTGTTTATGTATCTTCATATTTATTGGAACAATTATAGTTCTTTCTTTCTCCGGAGGTACACCTGAGTTTGATTTACCGGTAGATATTTCGCAAATCCCAAAGGCATATCAACTTCGACCAGACCGGTTTTTTTATTTTATTGAATCCCTTCCTGTTGAATTTGAAAGCATAACTAATTATACATCCACTAATGTTACGATAACAAATTCAATGCATAATTTTGAAAAGGAGCCTTTTGATGGACCAGTTGGTGTATTTAAAATAGCAGAAATTATTCCAATATCCAAAATCTGGACATATGAATATGAAATTCGAGAATTTCGGTACTTGCCCGATGGAAATGTTACTATGGTATCGACAGTCATTTCAAAGTTTGAAGGATTTTGGTCGAATTCAATTAAAATTCAATTTACTGCAGCACATAATAAAAGTTTAAACCCGGTATTACTTGAAACTTGTGAATATAAAGTTATTCGATCCTTTTTCTTAGATGGAGAGATTCAACGACGATGCCCGCACGAAAAAGAATTTTATAAAGTTGCTTTTGTTCAAAGAGCATCTCTATCCGAATGGAAATTTTTGTCTTCTTTAAATAAGAGCATTGAATTTGGAGAAATATCTAAAATAGATTTTTTGGATAATAAGAGGTTGTATATAGTAACATGATTCGTACATTCATTATTTATGAGGTTATTGATCGCGGTGATATTTTTCTTTTAGAGATGTCACCGTATACGAGAACGCACCATATCCTCCAATTATTCCGGCAATATATGTGGTGTATCGCGATTTGATGGAAAGTGAGTTAAAAACACAAGGAAAAATCAAATATTAGAGAACCGTGAAGAATATATACATAAACAAATATTTAGTTCTTGTGTGATTGTGTTCCGGTTGGCTTCTAATTTAATACATATTAACAACAAAACTCATATGATAGTTTGTTATGCCCATACTTTAACATTAGTCATGCAATTATATAAATAAGAGCATCAGATAAAACTTTTAAATAACTTGCTTTGAAAAAATACTGAAATATATCACTAATTTTAACTGAAATAGATTACTTAAAGCTTTAATTCTGAAAATTCCATTATACAGAATTTTTTAATCAGCATTGAATCATTCAAAATTAGACAGAATCTTAAGTTTAACCAATATTTAGTAATAACATCTGTACTTAAATAGATTTGTTTAGAGCTCCAATCCGGATAACCCGTCATCCATTTATCCGTTTCTGATTATCTGGATAATTCAGATATCAATAGTAAACGGATAGAACACTATATTTGTTTAAATGATGAATAATATAGGATAGCTAATATTAGAGTTCCGATCCATTAACCGTTTATCCATATGTCCGTAATCCGTTGTCTAAGTGTCCGATCCGGATATCCGTTTACTATTGATATCTGAATAATAATCCTGTATATTTGTCTGATATCAAGATATCCGAATAAATTCGGATTTATTACTAGTTAATATATAATGTTATTTTGTTTATTTATTATGTTCGATGGCTTTATTATTGAATCTATTATCTTGTCTATTGTCTATTGTCTATTCACAACGCTGTTATCGGTATTCAAAATAATTTTACGTAATTTTTGATTAACAGTTGATGATTCAGTTTTACGCTAATTAATGACAAAGCGTTGCTTTATTACTCTGACATTAAAAATTTATCAGAATCAATTTGTATTTCTGTAGGTTTTCTTCGTATTTGCGAATTGCGAGATAAATATTTTGCCGAACGTTTGAATGATTCGTGCTTTTTTATTGATCTGGCAATACAATGACGTTCATTCTCCCATTCCTCCCACGTCTTTATTTTTAATTTGCTTGAATCAAATTTTCCTGTGACGTCTCCATGCTCGTCTTTTCCAGTATCACCAAGTACTTGACGCGTTTCTCCCCAGGAAAAATCGTCAAAATTCCAATATGCATATAAAGGAAGGATAAAATTCCAAACAGGAAGTGCCAATAAGTAAACTGCAATAAAGAATTTAATAACAAAATATGCATAAATTAGTATTACCATCTCCTGCCGCAAGCATAGCTTTGTGAGTTAGTAATTATTTATGAGCAATGCTTAGGCGCGGTAGGATCACGGTAATTCATCTAATAAACACAGAATACATTATCACAACTAAGTCATTTGAAATTTACCTAACATCCACACGAGATAAACTATTTTACGGGTTGTTACAACAATTAATATTCCAGGTAAGCCCAAAATCATGGCCAAAAGGATGAGCGGAAGATATTGTATTTCGTTACCAAGCAGTGTGTTAAATATCAAATAAATTGTAAAGCATAGAGCAGATGGCAAGATCAATGTTCCAATAATATCCAACATAATCACAAATTGCATCGAGAGGCATGCAATTCCACAAAGGTCACGGACAAGTACGAGTTCAAAAAGATTATGAACGGTGGAATTGATCCATCGACGCCGTTGAGAAAGTAGTACAGAAAAGGTTTTAGGTGCAATAGTATGACAAATAGCCTGCGGGACAAATAACATTTTACGATATGGAAAAGTGCGAAGCATAAGAGTTGATAAATATCGATCTTCTCCTAAAAGTAGAAGATTTTTTTCATGCAATGTGGTTACAATATTCTTTTGATATTCTGCGACAATATCAGGATTGGACAAAATTGGAACCCATGCATCATCCTTTGGTGCTTTAAGTCGATACATGCAAAAACAACCTGGCAAGCAAGTTACACTACCAAAAGCTGATTCGAAAGCTTTTCCCAAATGATGAGAAATATAATATTCATAAACTTGTATGGCTGTTACCCAAGTCTCCGTTTTATTAGCGATACGTGTTTCTCCACAGCAACCCATAATAGTTGGATCTTTATTCATTGCAGAAACGAGATAAGCCAATGATGAGGGTGCGACTTTTGTATCAGCGTCAACCTAAAAATATACGGTATTGATAATAATGCATGGAAGGTAAAAGCAATGACTTTTTTTTCATTACCATTAATATAAGCTCGAAATGGTCAGCTGTAATACCCAATAAGTAGTATATTTTCCAGAATAATTCATAATCTAACTCGGTAAATCTTTCATTGAAATATACATGCTCAAAGAAACTCATAACAATCATCTATAAATTAAAAGTGGTTAAAATGGTAACTGAAAGGAAATATATTTAAATAGGTCAAAAAACTGATGTCACCTGAGAGTCACGTTTACCACGGTTGCCAGGTTTCGGGCTATTAATTTCTTTTTCGCTACCGATTTTAACAACAATAATTGCAGGAGCTCGATGGCCGCTGCGCGAATAATAACCAGCATACTAAATTTAATATTTACGTATAATTAATAATAACTCATAAAATATTTAAGGGATTTTATGATTAATAACCACGTACCACTTTTGCGCGATTAAATCGCTTTTCACCATCAGCAATCGCAACATAAGAACAAGGTGTAGCATTGCGCATTTCCGGATCTAACTCGAGAAAGTTGATGCAAATATCTGAAGTGTAACGCTTATTCCCCTTACCTTTGATCATTCCATCCACAACAATAAAAAATAACTGTAAACATTGATAAATCATAGTAAGCTTTTTTTTTTAAAAAAAAAAAAACAACCAAAAAGTATAATCCTTTACCTTGTGGTCATCACTATAATCAGTTTTCACTAAGCTATCTAACGTTGTTTGTAAAGAATTTTTATCTTCAGAATAAGCAGTCACCAACATTACAGTGTAAAGAGGATCATCGATCATTTCTCCAGAGTCGGATACTTCAACCAGCTTCTTGGAAAAAGTGAAAGTGAAGAGAACTGCTACGATAATTCGCACCATTGTGAGAATTAAGATAGTACCAGTAGTAAATATTGTTATGGTAGTGTTTATATAACATCCAGCAGTTTGAGTTAAGACAAAACCAGCTTGATATCGTGATAAGATACACGGAATGGCATTTTTAAAATTGTGGTTATATGAAGCAAGCCAGGAAATGTCCTTACTACGAGGGCTACCATTAGTGTTATTGGTATATAAGATCTCGTAAAGTATATTATTTACAAAAGATAGAGTAGAATCTGGAACAGTTTCATCGTTGTAGTTTGTTATGTTGTCGACATATGAAGACACGTTTATAACTGTTTTCAAACATGATAGATGGCAAAATTAGGTACCAACTTTACACATATATCTTTATATTGCCATTGTAATCAGAAGTTCTTACCTGTACTGCCATATACAAGTAATTCCGGTTCCCAATCGTTAAGCTTATTTGGTTTTAAATCATTCCACTCAAAAGCCAAAGAAGCGATAGGTTTCACGTTCAAATTTTTTATAGGAATGCACGTTCCTGCTGGCATTTGAAGTGAATCTTCACCAAAAGGGTTTTTGACCTTACAACTAAACGTAACATTACGTGGTATATCGAACTGTTCACATCTTCCATTAGTATTGTCAAAAATTGCGCTGAGGTCGGCGTTTTTATAGTCATTTGTAAGATTCATTTGTAAAGTATTAAAAAAATTACTCAATTTTTTGAAATCATAAATGTTGCCATAAATTATAGGGTTATCTATAAAAGTCTTCACTAATGTATAGTCTGGCGGAAGTTGTTGCGAAAAAGGAATTACGGTGGAAACATCTTCATGAGAACAAATCAATTCGCGAAGACCAATAGAAAGAAATCCAAGAATACAAGAGACGAAAGCAATTATTAAACAAAGGGTGACCTACATTTTTTTTTTTTTTCTGTCAATTTTATAATTAAAAAAAATTTTGAACATAAAACAAGGTTGGCATAAAAGATTAACCATGCCTTTTCTCTCCAAGCCTGACGAACAACCGGTTTTTTCATCCCACCCAATTTACTTAATAAAAAAGATGGTGCCCAAAAAGTTAAAATATTAGAAAATAATATCCAATAATGTATTCTTTCACCATATTTAAAATACTCGAATATTTCTTTAAAACATGAGACATTTTCATTTCTTATTCTTGTACGTAAAAATGCAGGATCTTCGTCATGGATCATAGCACGACTAGGTCGTCGTCTTTCTGGACGAACAAGAGGTTGACTAGGTCGTCGCCCTTGAATAAGAGGTTGACTAGGTCGTCGCCCTTGAACAAGGGGTTGACTAGGTCGTCTCCCTTGAATAAAAGGTTGACTAGGTCGTCTCCCTTGAACAAAAGGTTGACTAGGTCGTCGTTCCTGAACAAAAGGTTGACTGGGTCGTCGTTCTTGGACAAGGGGTTGACTGGGTCGTCGCCCTTGAACAAAGGGTTGACTAGGTCGTCGACCTTGAACATGAGGTTGGCTAGGTCGTCGACCTTGAACAAGAGGTTGGGAGGAATCAGGTGGGGAAGAATCAGGAGAGACATTATGATTTAAACGGTTTCGTTGAGTAGTTTCAGCAAAACTAACATCAAAATTAGCAGGTTTTGACTTATTGGTATGAGACATAGTTAGGGAGGATGGTTCTGATTTATTTCTCAGAGATTTGAAAAAGGATTTGACCTCGAAACTTTTCTTTGAGCACGAAAAGCTTTACCTCCTTTTAGAGAATTTTCTTGCAATATTTAAATGAGTAAAACTTAATAATGATCATTCCAACTATCAGCTCTCGCTTTTCAAGAATAAAAGTTCCGGCTCGTCCGTTGTCCTGAAAATTTTTGAAGGCCACCCTTTTAGGAAAGTACGATTCGTGAATATTTTAACAACTGGTAAGTTGTGAAATATTTATGAATTCAACTATATCTGAAAAATTACCTAAGCATTGTTCTATAATGACAATCTTAAAAAAGCGGGCATGCTGTTGTCGATAAAATTATATTAATTTTTATTTTCCGTTTTCATAAGTACAAATTTGACTGTCATATTGTTTTTTAGATGTACAATATACACGTGTTCGAACTTACAAGAAATAATATGAAAAGGTGAAAGGTTATAACTTTCTTGATGCAGATCTATACTTAATTAGGGTTAGTTACTAGTTTAGGTAGGATTTGCGTCAATAACGTAACTATTTCACCCTGTCGTAATATAATGATTAAATTGGAGCGGCCATAAATGGTTTTATGATATTCCTTAGTAAAAGTTTAGATCTACATTGGGCAAAGGCAAACCATCAGATTTTGAGATTTTATATGATACTTATTTAACCAATAGTTATTTTTATAAAATAGTTTTTAATTTCTAATATACTGTATACTGTATATTCATAAAAAATGTGCAAATTTAGTTTTATTAATTTAATATTAATACAGTATTATATAAAAATAGTTAGGATCCTGGTTTTCCTTTTTTGATATTTCCACACCCCCATGTAAATTCCTTTTTTAAAAAATTTTATTGAAGGTATCTCGGCAACCATCTAACCAAATTTGAATTTTTTTATTTGAATTCTACGGATCTGTAGAATTCAAATAAAAAAATATATCAAATTTTGTTGGATGGTTGTCGAAACATCTTTAAATGTTTAAACGTCTATCAAAATATTATCCGCGACAAAATTTTTCTTGACTTTGATCGAAGGTATCTCGACAAAGATCCATTCAAATTCGATGAATTTTTTTTTTATATGGATTTGAAAATTCAAATAAAAAAATTTTTATTGAATTTGGTTGGGAATATCTTCAAAAGCAAAAAAAAAAAATTGATTACACGGGGGTGTAGAAATATCAAAAAAAGGGCGTGGAAAAATCAGGACCCAATATTTATATACTACTGTACTAAATTTAGTAATTATTTTCTACAACCACATAATTGTCCCAAGCCATTCTTTGCTATGTGGATCCCATATAAATCTGTCAAGGATAGAAGATACGAGTTTTAGACAAAGAGCTATAGATATTTCAAAAGTTCTATAAAATCTTAGTGAATTTCATTTTAATTACGTCATAGGCGGAAATTCGTCTAATTGGTTAATTTTTATAGATCTACCCGTGATTACTGACCAGTTAAATTACATAGCTTTATTACGATATCGAATTATTACAATAATGAAATTACAATGAATCAAAAGTCTTATATGTAGAAAAAAAGTACATGAATAGGAAATATATATTTGAGAATTGTGTCTATGAAGGTATAAAGAACGTAATAAAGTAATAATTTTCTTAAACACGTTATATATTTCATTATTCATAAACACAGATCCTCAATTATACGCTTCAAGAACTAATCTAACTTAAAAACTATCTTGAACATTATATTAACCTCCTACTCACAACCTTACTTTGACTAAAAGCCGGACTTAATATCTAAAACAAAAAGTTATTTCTGTTAAAAACTGTTTTTACCTAATAGATTAAAATTTCGAGAAGTTTTTTTTCTCCTTACCTAGTTCAAAACGTCATTATTAAGCCAACACCTTTTAAATTGGAAATTATTATTGAAGCTAGTTTCTAGCACCTCTTTGAAGCTAAAGACGATGTTTATTAAGAGTAGTTACTTGTGTAATGTTGAGTTCTTAAAAAGTACTCTAAAACATATAAATAAGTTACCTGGACAATTGATTTGCATTAGTTGATCAAGCGAATTTCTGCGTATTTACATCTGTAGCAAAATTATTAGCTGTGGCATTTTTATCTAATGAAGGAGCAATAGTTTCATTAGTAAAATTTGATTTGGAGATCTTTCACATAATTTTATAATATATTTTATTGAATTGACTTTAAGGTTAGGTTAGGTTCTAGGTAGTTATATATAAGCAAAAATTGTCTTCCCGACATTTTTAATTTACCTACCCGAGGTAAAGGTCAGTCGATATATCACGCAGTAAATTTTTAATTGATCGACGCACCCAAATTTTATAAGTAAATTTTAAATAAAATTTGCTTTTAGGCTTATTTAAAACAAAGAAGTTGCCAGCTTAATTTCTAGGTATCATTTTGCAAATTCTCTGGCATTTGAAGGTTCTTCCTATGAAATTTCAAGGGTTATTAACAACAAAACTCAAAAGAATCTTGACCACGAAGTTATAAGTGATCCCCAAAATAGGTAACGATAGACATTCAATTACATAAATTTAATTGGCTGTCGTCTAAAGCGGAGCAGAATCACGTGGACATAGACCAATAAAATTATAGAGTTTTAATGATCACCTGCGAAGCAAAAACAAGAAATAAAAATGCAAACATACAAAAAACGGCAGTCTAAACCTACCTCGGGTAGGTTAATTAAAATGTCTAGAAGGCAATTTTGCTTATATATAACTATCTAAAATCCAACCTAACCTTAATATAAAATGACTCTAATCCTAAAGTTAATTTAATAAAATATATTATTAAGAATCTACTTCGCTTTAGACGTTATATCACTTATAAACAAATAGTAAAAATCATAAAAAAATTGTCCAACTTCATGATCAAGATTCTTTAATCACTCTTGAAATTTCATAGGAAGAGCCTTTAAATGCTAGAGAATTTGCGAAATGGTACCTAGTGTCACTGGCAGATCAGTCAGATAACACACCCACAAACAACAAAGAAATGCGATGAATTGTTTCTTCAGAATTGAATATACTGCATAATGTTTCTCAATGTTTTAGAGTCAGAACAATTTGGCATTGGCCTAAGACGATAATTGAGAAGCATTATAGAGAGAATTTGGAATAAGATAAATGGATGGGCCTTTAAAAAACATTTACTTTGAGATTTTGAATCTTTTATTTATTTATTATTATTTTATTTTAATTTTTGTAAGGTGGAAAAGACATATTCATTATAAGAGAAGATTCTATAGTCTATTTATAACAATTTTTTAAAAAGATTTTTTAAATGTTTCTTTATAATTTTTATACAATTTTTCTATAAAATCCAAGTTGTTTTATTCTTTTTTGATTTAACATTTTATTTTTTACTTTTTACAGTCTTTATTTTTTACTTATTCAATGTTTTTTTTTTACTTTTTAACCAATGTTTTTACTCTCACAGTTATTCAATTAATTGGAAATGTACTCACATGATCACAAACTTTGTCTGACAAAATAATATTAACTCATTGATTTATTTTAGTTTTTATTTTTGTTAATCAGTTTATGCAGATTGCTTTATCATTTTAGATTTGTTAATAGTAATTGTTCTGGAACTTAGTAATTATAGTTATAATTTTATACAACATTGATTTAAAGTTTCATTGTTTATCTATTTTAGACAATTTTTTAAAATCAGAGAAGTACAGATTTGTTACTAATATTAGAAATTAAGCTGACAGCTTCTTTGTTGTTAAATAAATTTAAAAAACAAGTTTTATTTATAAAATTTAGTTGTGTTAATTATTTGATCTATTATTAAAATTTTTACATAAATAATTTGTGTAATATATTGACTGATTAGTAAGTTTAAACTACTGTTTTTCATATTTTTGAGGGGTTTCATTTTTATTTCTTGTTTGCTTCACTAATAATTATTAGTAATCATTAAAAATCTATAATTTGATTGGTTTATAGTTATACAATTCTGTTTTGCTTTAAATGACCCAAATATGAAAATAATTTCAATTCTATTGTAAAAAAAAGTAGTGAAATTAGATGAATATACATATTATAGAATAAGACAAAAATATTAATTTCATTTATAATATTTTATTATATTTTTAGAAAATTAATTAGTAGTCCATAGTTAAAGGGTACAAATTTTATAGTAAAAATCAGCAGACATGTAACTAGTTATCTTATATAGTAAGTGAAATGCCATGTGCTTCAATTCTTATGAAAAAACTCTATAATAAATGATTAAAAAATACTTATATCTTATGATCTATTTAACCAATTTTAATGATTTTACTACTATTAAAATCACAAAATTTAGCTCTACAACTTTTAATTAAATAACAAAAAGAATTAGTTAATAAAAAAAAGTTTTATATATAAGCAAGCCCCATTCCTGCACTATAGAAAAAATATATAAATTTTTGATTTTGTTTATTATAAGTATTATTATTTTTTGTTCTCTTTAAAAATGATTTATTAATTAAACTTTTTTAAAACATGTATTGTAAAATTTTTATTAAGTATAATGATCAGTAACTTAGATAATCATTTTCTAATTTGGAATATTCACACTTTTAATAAAAAATTAAGTATAAAATTTAAACTTATTTATCTATCAATATTATCAATATCATTAATACCTATCATAGATTAAAAAAAATAGTTTATATAAATAAAATTAGGTTATTTTTTATATTTTTACATTTTTACTTTTTCTATTATTACATATTAATAGATTAATAAATTTATATATCTAAATACCTTAAGTAGTAATAAGAAATTACAGTTTTTTAAAATCTTATATAGAATTTCTGTAAGATCTAGAAATATAGTAAAGTTTTCATATTTATAACAAACAAATTGTTCAAAATATTTTAATTGTTTCTAAATTAAAGTATAACCAAATTAATGATTTATGTTTTTTTTTTTTTTTTTAAGATAACCTTTTTGGTCTTATAACTTTTATTAA